GCTAAATCCCCAGCCCCTCATTTTATTTCTTGTGATGCATTGTTTCTCTCTTGAGTCAGACCTGAAGGCTCCAGTCTTATCCTAATCTTTAAAGTGCTGCACAGAAACCAAAAGCAGGGGTTTTCTGCCTCAGTTTCCAACAGTGACAGGGTGCTGAGATGCTGCCAGAATCCCTGGAGGCGTTTTCTTCTTAGCTTGCTCTTCCAGTTCACTTCCCTGCTGCTTTTGTTTATTCTGAAAGTTCAGGTCCCTATTCTTCCTTCTTTTAATCCTTATTTTAGTTTGGTCCAGTCTCATATACAATCCCTTCCCCAGCTCTCACTCGCTAACAATGGTGCGTAACTGGTATATTTTAATCCCAAAATGGCATCTGAGAGCGTTTTGCAATGCCGCCAAGCCAGCACTTTCAGAAGCATCTGACGATATTAATTTCAGTCTATTTCCTGAGGTTTGCAGGAAACTAAAATGCAGAAAGCGCTGTGGCAAAAAATTAAAGCTTCATGGGGGAAAAAAAAGGAAGATTGACAGGAAACGAGGCTTCAATAGGACAGCTTGCACTGAGTGGTGCTGTCCTCTTTTCTGCACATCAACATATGCACAGGGAAAAATAACTCCCTACTCTTGCAGCTCTGCGATCAGGAACAGGTCTTGCATGTGGCAGGCCTGTAATGATAGGGGTAAATACACACAGGGGACTGAGCTCTGGGACCTTTACACAAAGTTGCAAATCATTGCTTGTGGCCAGACTTCCATAAAAAAGTCAGTTGTATGCAAGTTTTGCCCAATTAAAAATACCTAAGGAGATGATGGGTTTTTCACAACTCATGATTCTGTTGTGCTACTCAATTTCCCTACACCCCTTTTTTTATACATCTGAATCTGATCTTTTTAATGCAAGATTTTTAGGAAAGAAATTCTTTCTAAAAGTTCTATGTCCAATGAAAATTCAGAGCAAATTCTGTGCTTTGATAGACTGTCTTTCATTTTAAAAACATATTTCTTTGTGCAGCTTTCTTTTTCTTTTCTTTTGATAATGGTGTCTGTTTTTCTTGCTGGGCTCTTTCTGAGGGTCTCTTGCTATTTATCACCAGTAGTGGACACAGTTCTGCTTGGTCTCTAAGGTATTACCATTTTGACTGGTGGGCCCTACACAGGTTTAGGATAGACAGAAAGAATAAGCAGTGAGTCATTGGTGGATCACCCCCACCAAAGCCAGTGAGTATAGAAAGAGGGAAGGACACACGTGGCATCTTCCAAAGAAAACATGATGCAGCTGTTCGCTAACTTCCACAGTGATGAGATTTTACAAAAGAGACTAGGTCCTCCTGTCTTCTCCAGGTGTCTCTGCTTGCTGCTGTGATATTAAAACCGGGAAGGTCTTGTGAGTCTGTGGCTCTGTGGATAGATGAAGGCATCTTGGATTTGAAAGACTAAGGAGTCCTTGTAGACAGTAGAGGTGGCATGGGGTGCACTTTGTAAGGGACCCACATGGTCATGCAGATACCTTTGTAAAGCAATTTCAAAAGAGAATCAGTTGAGGGAGGGGAAAATGTGGAAGGCACCCAGGTTGGGCTGGATTGAGATGTAACACACTCCTGAGCGCCTGCTTGGACTTTCTGCATTGCAGCCCAAGTGACACTTTTTCTTTTTTTCTTTTTCAAATTTATAGGTGCAAGACATGCCCCAGTGCCACCAGGGAGAGTGTGAAGCCTGTTAGAGTTTGTTGTTCTCAAGGTGAGAGATGAGGTGGTGAGAAAACCGTTCTACTGCACTCCTCGCTCTAAGTTTTAACAGACACAGGGAGCCAAATTCCGCAGGTGCCCCTTTAAGGACATAATATATTATCTGCATCACATAACCCAGTACCTACATGAGGGCTATTTCTATTATGATTGCCATGAATGGATGAAAGACAGAGGCTGGGAGCGGTTAAGTGATTTTCGCCCCCGCAAGACTGAGTAGTAAAAGTGGGAATAAAGGGGGGTGTGGTGGTTTCTAAAATCCATGCTCAGGAAAGTGTGTGGTTCATCATAAGCGGCTATGCAAATCCGGATTCTTCTTCCAGTCCCAGACTGCAAGCCTAAATAGCAATGCATTTAGGCCCAGTAATGAATAATAAGGCTAGAACAAGACACTGGAAAGACACCTCGAGTCCCACATTCTTTGTTCCTTTGTGGTGGGGGCCCAGGTTATATCATCATAGTGATCTGGCTCCTGACATTGTCACGGGAAGCCACAGTGACATGGGACGCAAAGGGCATGAACACATGGTGGCTCTCAGCAGTGTCCTTGGAAGGAAGGACACTTGGAGGGATGGATAACCTCCTGGAGGAATGCAGGCTTTGGAAAAGGAGGCTGCCTTTGAGACCTGCAAACACGCAAGACTCTGATAAGTTACACAGAGGCGGGCCTGGTCCCCCGGCTCCTGTTCCAACTCCCTGTTCCAGCTGCAGGATGTTGGGTCCTGGCTTGATGGTTATTGGCACAGATGTGAAAGGCCACCGGGGGAGGGAGCAGAAGAAAGCTTTTGCTGAGCTGAAAAGTAAGTGTGGGTTTGGCCTATTGATCTGAGCACAATAGACAGTTTTCATAATTTGATGCCTGTGTTGTGAGACACACAAAGCCATTTGCTCAATCATGAGCACAGCAAATATAACGTGGGAGTGAGCGGGTGTCAAGAGTGAGCCAAGGAGAAGGGCAGCGGGTGAGAAGTGAGGCTCAGGATTTGAAAAACCAGCTCTCAGGATTTGGAGTACTTTGTGACTCTAGTTAGTGACAACGTCCTGTGTACTGATAAGCGCTTAATAGAATTGACTTGAATACATTTTCACTAAAAAAGTTGATAACTATTGATTGAGGAAATGCATATGTTAATTATCTTAATTTAGTCATCCTCCACTTAAACATATTTCAAAACATCATACCACAAATGCACACAATCTTCTTGTTTGTCAACTAGAAAATAAAAAAAAAAATAAAAGCCCTATTTTTCCCTTTATTCTAATCAGAAAACTGCCGTTTTATAGAAATGTCATGAGGGAAGCCAAGGAAAAAAAATCTCACAATGGAAAACGAACATTTTGCTAAATATAAACAGAACATCTTCATCCCAAGCATTTTCATATTTATTTTTGTCATCACATAAATAAATGTATATTTTAGAAAAGTTGAAAATCCAAAACAGATTCACTAAGAAGATAACTGAAAATGAGATAGCCACCTGAAATGTTGGTACATCCCAATCATTTTCCTAAAGCAAAGTTTTCAACATAATTGAAGAAAAAAATTGTTTGATTTATTATTATGAATATTTACCCATGCCATTAAATATTCTCTAGGGATATTTATTCTCTGTGCCTCTTATCAAAAAGCTGGTATTTTAAAGCTTGCTTTTCCAGAGCAGATTTGGACCACGCTATCTTCTAGTTTGACACATAATTCAGAGTCATGGCTTCCTAAACACCCTTTTCACAAGGGGCCGCTGGGCCGCTCATGCAAACTGGTTATTCTTGATTGCTGATGCTCTGGGAGCTTGTGTTTCTCAGCTCCCCTGAATACCCTGATGGGAGCTGGAGGGCAGAGCAGGGTCCAGAGGGACCACTGGGGCAGCTCTGGGTGACCAGCTGGTGACTGAGTGCTCTGAACTTCCTGATCCCCTCCTAGGAGCCACTCCTATTTGGGACCATGGAAAAATCATTTTACAGCTAAAACCTTTTGAACTAACAAGTGGCCACTTTTTTCCTCTTCTTATTCCAGGCGCGCTGAGGTTTAGTTCAGAGTGGTTGCGAAGGGGCCTCTCCATCATAAATCTGGAAACTCTCTGTGCTTAAGGATTATTTCACAGATTTCCGGAAAGTAGAAGGAAACTAAGAAAAGTAAAAACCTGATAGTTTCCAAAGGCTTGACCTTTGAGGTATATAGCAGGGCAACACTTTCTTTAGAGTTTTTTGCAGAATTCTTTCCTTTTTCACTCTGTGCTAGTCCTTCATGGTGCCACGCTCTGATTTCCAAAGCTCTAGTCCCTTCCTATCCATACGTGGGGTCGGGACTCTCACGTAAGTGCCGAGTTTTCATTCATTTTCTTTTTCACCCTCATATATTTCTGTTATATAAGCTCTGAGGACAAAGACCTCAAGTAAAGGGGGAGAAATCAGCTGCTTGAGCATTCCTTTCCCAGCTGGGGGTCACAAAGGTCTAGAGCTGCACCACCGAGGCAGTAGCTGCTACCCACGGGTGGCTATGTACACACGAATTAAAATTAAATTATATGAACAAGTTTCAGACACTGGTCACTTGTCAAATGCCCGGTGGCCACATGTGGCTATGGCATCAGCAATGGACAGTAGATTTTGTAGAACATTTTATGTACTACTTCTGTCATCGCAGTTCAGTTGGGCAGAGCTGGTCTAGTTTCTTTATAATCAGATTTATCCTGGTGCTATAGGGGATAATGACCGACAATCACATTGTTCCTCATGCGTGACAGTCACAGAAATGGTCAGACCCGAGTTTGATGATAAGGATGTTTTTGAAGGGAGCAAGTCAGAGATAAGAAAATTAGCAATGCTCCTGTCTAAGTCTCCATGCACAGGTCAAAGTTTAAGGAACACAGTCTACATCAGAATAAACAGCTGGGCATCAAGTTACCATGGCTTCAGGGGACTGAACTGTGTCCTTCCCCCAAACTCCTGTGTTGAAATCCTAACCACCAGAGACTGTATTTAGAGACAGAGCTATGAGAGGATGTAGAGGTTAAATGAGGTTAGGACTTGTATCCGTATAAGAAAAGGCAGAGACACTGGAATGCTACGTGTTTCTGTTTCTGTGTCTCTCATGTTCCTTGCATGTAAAGCTCTTGTGACATACAGTAAGAGGGCAGGTGACTCACCACCAGAAGGAGAGAACCTGCCAGAAATCAACCCCGCTGGCATCATTACATCTGATAGCCCCCCCCCCAGAACTGTGAAAAAATAAATTTCTGTTGTTTCATACTCTCTAGTTTGTGGTATTTTATTATGGCAGCCTGCACAAATAATACGATTTGGGTTGCTGCTACTAATAATGGCCAGTGTTTGTTTTGCATTTTGCAAGGTGATTTTATATACCTTGTTTGTGTCTCACAGAAGCCCTTGGGAGCTGCTATTAATATTGTGATTTTACAGATGCGAATAAAAGAGACCCAGGAACTCGGATAACTAGGGGTCACACTGAAACTAGGACCCAAGGTCTCTGAACCCCAGGCCTATCTCTGGCCACTTGGCTATAGTGCTGTAGAAATCTGTGATGACCTAGTTCAAAATTTGCCTGGCAGCTCTAGCTGTTTACATTCAAGTCTGCCCAATAAAAATAGCTGAGAGTTCAGGAACATGGAAATCAATATCATGTAGTCAACAAAGGATTTGTTTCCAGAATATTAAGAATATTTTTCCACAAATGCATTTTAAAGAAACAAAACAATAAGGGAGCAATTGACGAAGGACATGAACAAGAAATCTATAGAAGAGTAAATTCAAACAGCTAAGGAATGCTTTTGAATGTAAAAACTTGTTAGTAAAAAATAAAATACGTATTTATAATAAAAAGTGGTCATTTGTATTGCTATTCAGTTAGGAACAAAATTTAAAAGTCTTATAATACCAAGCATTGATGAGAAAGTAGAAACTGTCGTAAGTGTGGATAGGGTTGTAAATTAGTATAGGCTCTTCAGAGAACGATTCGTCAATATCTACTAAAGCTGAAGATATGCACACCCTATTTTGCAGGAATTGACTTTTACATGTACAGCCTAGAGAAAGCCTGGCACATGCATTTTGCAGTTATGATCAAAGATATTCATTATAGTCTTATTAGTAATCACAAAAACATTAAACAAGCTAAGTATCCATCAATAAAGGCATAAAGTACAGTTTTTCTACAAAGAAATATTCTCTAGCAGTTAAAATAAATTGCACTAGATTTTAATGTATAAATACATCTATATAACTACATCTCAAAAGCATGATATTGAGAGATAAGGGTAAGTTACAGAAACATATGTGTAGGTATCATTTATATAAAACTTAAGAATTAATATTACACATTGGTTGTGACTATAAAATTGGTGAGAATACAAGCAATAGAGATACAAAGAAAATCCCCTCCACAGTGAAGATTGCCTTTGAGGTTAGGAGAAAAATGCATGGTATGTTTACATATGCACCTCAATATTTGATAATTTCAGTTCTCAAAACACTTTGCAAGATTACCATTGTCCTGACCATTCAACAGCAGCACACCTGGCCTCCACTCTGCATCTGGGAGAGCAGGAAGAGGAGCTCAGAGAAGCTGCTTTCCTAAGAGACCTCAGCACATCAAGGGTAGCCTGGGGTGTGACTTCTTGTTGGGTAGCTGGCATGAGGCACAGTCCCCCCCCAGTACTCTACAGTCCCAGCAGAGAGCCGAGATCTGACCTTTCAGCAGTGTCAGAGGCCAGAAGCAGCTGCCTGAGCTCTGTCTTTCTGTGTACATCAGAAGCTGTCACTTGACTTAGAATTTGGCTTTAACTCACTGAATGTTCGCAAAAGCAAACTCCAAACCTAAAACCTAAGAGTAATTTTAAAAATCAATTAATGTAAGACCCAGGCAATTATTTTCTTGAGCCTCTAGAAAGTTCAGTATTGCTAAAAGTATTTTGCTTGTTTTATGGAGATAAAAAGAATAAAATTTTAATTAGTGTTTTTGAGGAGTCAACCGGCTGACACACACCTTTTCCTTTTAAAAACAAACAACGGAGACACTTTCCCCATTCAACATCCCCCTCTCACTTCCACTTTCCTTCTCCCCATCCTGATTTCTGAGTTTCTCAGATTTTCAGAAGCTTTGTGTGATACAATGTTCAACAGTCATCTCTCTAAAATACATCTTTTCTAAATTCTTTGTGGTTGTCAGCTGACTTAAACATTGAATGAATAAAGGACCCTCTATTTGGCAGCAAATATGTGTTAGGTGGTTGGTCAATACCCGTTTCATCTGGCTTTGTTGGATTCTTTTTTTATTGGTACCAGGGATCAAACTCACGACCGCGTGCTTGCAAGGCAGGCGCTTATGCTGAGCTAAATCCCCAGCCCTTTGTTGGATTCTTGTAGTGATCATCAGTACTATTCTCATTGCAGAATGAAGGAAAACTGAACCTCAGAGCAAGTGACACGCCGTACTGGTATCCCATTATATTTTAAATATTAGGTGTCCCCACCAAAGACTCATGGACTGCGGAGTTGGTCTCGCATGCAGCAGAATTCAGAGATGGGGATCTAGCGAGGTCGCTGAATCATAAGAACACTGACTTTTTATCAATGGATGCACCCACCGATGGCTTCATAGCTGAAAGCACCATTAGGAGAAGCCTGCCGGGAGGAAGCAGACTAGAGGCTCAGTCTGGAAGAGCATACTCTTGTCTCAGACCCATTCCTCCTTTCTGGTTGTCTTCTTGTTGTTTAATTCCTGGCTGTCATGAAGATACAGCTGTATTCTGCCGTGATGCTTTGTCTTGTCCCAGGACAGGAAGTAACAGATCCCAAGGGAACACGAATTGAAATCTATGGAACCAAGACCAAAAGTGGATCTTTTTTTTTTTTTAAAAAGTTGCTTATGTCAGGTATTTTGTCCCAAAAATGAACTACTGACCCATGGAGATCCAAACCCTTAGTTCTAGTTGTGGATCAGTCATCCAGTTTTTCTTCTAATTCTAAGGTCTTTTCTGTGACAATTTAATTATACTGAACAACAAAAGAAATAGCTTATTTCTATAATCTTTGTTTCCTTTCCTTTTTTTCCTGTGGACAGTGATAAAGAATAAATTGGCCAACTAAAAAAGATTAGTGAGCAAAATATATCCTGACTGGCTAGCTGCTCCATAAAGCCATGATTTCTCTGGGTGGGTCTCACACCTGGCTCTGCCCTCTGAAATACTGGTGCATTTGGAAATGAGCCTGTGTTATTATGATTAATGAATGTCTACTAGACAACAAAAAGCGAGAGCTAAAAAAAGATCTCATGCACCTTGAAAAGTTGAATAGAAATCCCAGCACTTTGGAGGCTGAGGCAGGATGCTATGAGTTTGAGGCTATCTGTACGTAGTGAGGTTCAAGCCCAATCTATACCACAAAGCGAGACCCTGTCTCAAAACAAAACAAAACAAAACAAAACAAAACAAAACAAAGCTAACAAAACAAGCAAATGAAAGCTGAAAAACCCCCAAAAGTTGAAAATCAGTTAGTTATCTTACACTGTATGACTTGCGTTACCTTGAAATGCTCTTAATTCCTGGGTGAAGGAGTTTCCTGATACGAGATGAGGATATCAGATCTTTTCCCTCCAGCCATCACATTGATATCGGGGTAGAAGTTGGATAGTTGAGGTCCTGGCGCCCATCAACGTTAGACCTGGAAGAACAGATACCCACTAACTCCAGTGGGAATTCTGACATTTGCAACGTTGCAGGAGGTCAGAGGGTCCTGTGGCCAGGCACAGTTTGGGGACAACACGAGAAGAGAGTGTGCTGGGGCGAGGCAGAGAATCAAGGTCCACCTGGGTTTCTATAAAGACCCAAAAGATGAGAAACGAGACTCGGGCAAATGAAGGAAAAGAAAATAGAGCAGAGGAGGCACGGATGAGAAAGAATGCTAGATTTGTCCGTCGGCAGAGTGAGACACCAGCTCAAGAGAAAAAAGGTCCCACAATGGGACCGAGTCATTTTATTCTCCCTTTCCTTCCCTGACTTCCCACCTCGCCCATCCCTCGATTCCCTTCCCTTCTCCACCTCCCCATTTTCTATCATCTGTCTTTTACTTTGCTCTTAAATTATTTATACTTGAGGCTTGTCATATAAGAGAATCTATGTGATATTTAACCTTCTCTGACTTATTTCACTTAGCGTGATGTAATTATTATCTATCACAAACATACGAATAAATGAAAAGAACTCATATACAGAAAAAGGAGTGACGATACTGGTGTAAGACTACCTGGATCTGGCTCTGGCTCTGTTACTTACCAGCTCTTGGTCAATCACTTAACCCCTAAACTTTACCTTCATGGTGTCTACCTTGTAGGGTTAAATAAGAAAGGTCCTATGTCTTTTGCATGCAGCACTGGCTACACGGTACCTCTGGCATGGGGCTAGGGATCACAACCATGGTTTTAAGAGGGAACTAATGGAGGTTCTGAAGGCGGGAATGATAATTTTATGGCGCTGGGTGAATGCAGTTGAATTTAGATGGAGGCAGGAGAACACTGTGGAGGTCACTCCAATGATCTGGGTATGAGGTAATTGGGTCACGGCTTGGAATGATGTTAATGAGAATAAAAAGGAAAGGGTAAAAGTGACAGACATTTCCGGATTTAAAACTTTCGTAAATAAAGAGGAAAAAAGAGAGACATGAGTCAAAATGACTTCTAGCTGCTGGACTTGGCCTAGTAAAATATTGGCACCTTTGACTAAATGGAAACACTGATTTTAGAAAAAGACTCCCCTGGAGGTGAGTTTGTCACTCTCTGGGATAGTGGGCCACCCCATCAGACATCCCCAGGGGCCATCAGAGCTCCCCCTCCTCTGAAGAGAACTGACTACACAGATTTCTTGGAGTTTCCTTTGTGCATTCCTTACATTTTTCTCTATCTCACATGCCCTGTTGTATTGTTTACTTAATATTTTACTTTAATTTGACTTAAACTGATTTATTTGGCTTCAACTAAGCTATAATATCTGTGAAATCTCAGGCTTTATGTGCTAGTTACTGTTTGCCTAATATACATTAAAATAAAATCATGACTGTTAAAATAGAAATATTCATCCATATACTTCCTAAAATCATTCCCAGTACCGTCGTTGTTATACATACATTTTGTGAAGCAGGAATAAAAATGAAAACTAAAGCCCCATGAAGTGTGGATTTTTCTCATGGAAATAGAATAGCCAAAAGATCAGAGAGCTAACGTGAAGGAGAAGAGGAGGCCAGATAATTACAAAGAAGTGAGTGTAAGAGAACCGAGATAGTACCATGTCATACCAGGAGGTCAGGGACAGAGCAGAAAGGGTATTGTGAGAGAATGTCAAGGACAGGGTGGTAAAAATGCCAATATCTTGAAGAATACAGTTTTGAGCAGGCCGTGGTATGTAGAATTAGATAGCTAAGAGAGCTGTAGAGGGGTCAGCTTCTGGATATATTTTGGAAGTAAGCCAGTGCATTGTTTGCTGGTGGATTCAAAATGACATGTAAGCAAAAAGGGAAAACAAACAAGCCAAAAACATGCTCAGAGTCAGAGCAATGGGAACATTATACTTGTCGCTGACTGAGGTTTTGTTATTACTAATTGTAGTATGTAAGGACAGCCTGGGCTAAGAAATGTCAATAAGCAGGAAGGCCCTGCTGCTGGTGTGTTCACGGGGTATTTCCAGAGATGGCTGGCACGTCCATGAGCAGACCGAGGGGGAAAGAGTCATTCTGGTTGTGGTTGGCACCAACCCAAAGGCTTGTAGCCAGGATGGAATAAAAGGGCATCTTTTCTGACCAGGCCTTACCACTTAACAGCATGTTTAGTTGTTAGTCATTAAGGGACACATTCGCTAATGAATATAGCACATACGATTCAACCACCTCCCAAACAACACATGAAATTTTAGTGGGACATCTTAGATCTAAACCATAGCAAAGGGAAAGAAGGAGGAGGGTGGCGTTCATTCTGAAGAGCTCGGCTCTGCCCGACGGGGTGTCTCTTGTGCTGAAGTCACCTGTGGATATCAGCTCTCTGTTTCTTCAGCCTTTCATTGAAGATTCATGATAGCGACTCTCTAGGTTGCTTCCAGGCCTTTAGTTTCAGACTGGTACTGGGTCCTTGATTCGTTTTGCTCCACAGCTTCCAACTCCCTGGATGGAACAGCAGCAGATCCTCTCACTCTTCGCCACACAGATGGTTATTGGTTCTGTAAGCCTACCTGATAAATCTCTTTGCATAATTATAGATATCTCTTTGCATAATTATATATGAATCTATCTATCTATCTATCTATCTATCTATCTATCTATCTATCTATCTATCTCCTTTAGATATGGAAGATTGTGGAAGGTTCAAGTTTGGAAGAGATCAGGATTCTAGTTTGGAAATGTCAAATTTAAGATAGATACTTGCTTTTCTGAGAGAGGTTTCAAAGAAGACAGTAGGCTAAATGGACCTGAAGTTCATGACTTGTCAAGGAATAAAACATGGGAACTTCAAAATATAGATCACTCTAAATTTACAAAGTTAAATGTTTTCATTGTCTGAGGTAGATTGGGCTTGGTCATGCAATTTAACAAATACCCTCCAAATCTTAGTGGCTTGTACCTTCAACTTGTTCTTTCTTGTTTCTACTATATGTTCATATGGGTTGACTGGAGCCTGATTCATCTTTTCTCACACCAGGACCTAGGCTGATAGAAGCAGACAGAAAGAAAAGAGAGCTCCGGAGGAGTTTGCATCAGCAATGAAATACACTGATTCAGGAATGACACATCTCACTGCCGTTTGCAAATCGTTGACCAGAACTAGCCTCATGGCCCCAGTCAAGCAGAAGAGGCATCAGGAAGTATAGAAATCTAAGTCCTGCTATATGCAGGGAGGGTAGACAGGCAGGTACATTCAGATTACAACACAGTAATATTTACCGCCATCACAAGGTAGAAGATTTGGACATTCATTTGTACATTCAGAGGCTGAAGGGTGAGAAGGTGACCAGGGAAAAGACTATTTGGTTTCTTGGAAATCAAATGAAGCTTTCACCAACTGCACTGAGAGGTTTCAGAGAATGCTAATTGGTGGAGGTGAGTAACATTGTCAAACCCCACAAAATCAATGAGGCAGATAGGAGGGGAAAAGGTCTGAGAGGTGAGTGAAGAGGGTGTGTTCAGTACCTCACGCCAAATGCAAACATGTGGGACAAGTAATGAGCACAGGGACTAAGAACTTCAGCTTGTGAGGGACAAACAAGGGTTAGAACCATGCTGTCACCTCATAGCTTATTGGAAAGTCTCCTTACCTCAGGTGTCCTAATTTGAAGATAGACCTCCTGTGAAGGTGAAATAGCATACTTTTCCATCCAGGTCATGTGGGATTCATTCATGTGGTAGCTGTCGTCCCCATGAATTGCACCAGTCACCTTAGAAAGCTGGGTGGCAACCTCTCTAAAAGTTATACAGACACTAGTACATGATTCACTCACTGCAGCCTTTCTCTGTGAAGTAATGTCTTATCACTGTGACAAAAATAGTTGGGACAACCAACTTGAAAAAGAAGAAGGGTCACTTTGACTCACAGTTTCAGAGGTTTCAGTCCATTGCCACTTGTCTGTGCTGCTTTGGGTCTGTTGTAGTTAGGGGTTGAGCACAGAGAACAATTAGAACCAGGACATGGAGTTTATAATATTATTTTTATAATGTTCACCGGAAGTTAACACCGGAGAATGCAGGAAATCTATCTGCAACACCAAAGACATAGAGTATTTAGTCAAGGGCCTAAATCCCACAGCAATGTCTCATATGAGTCCAGATGGAAAACCCAGAGCTCATGAGAATGCCTCCCATTAGTCCAACAGGAGGTCCAGAGCCCACAAGAAGGACTCATGCCAGTCTCTTTTGCAGATCTGTGCTGGGAAGGACCAACGGTCAGTGGTGGAAGCCAGAAAGTCCATGCCAGAGGGGTGAAGGAGCTGTGCTGGTGGGATGAGGGTTCTACACTGGAGCTGAGAAGTCACACTCACAACAAGGATTAGGGCTGTCCTGAAAGGCACCACAGCCATGCTCAGTGACACGGAGGCCCCGAGCTCCTCTGACGAGCACAGTCGGGTACATGCTAGGAAGCAGCGTGATGAGTTCATCCTGGAGACCAAGTGGCACATGTCTTACCCTCTGGAGCCAGGAAGCAATGCTTGACGTGAAGACCAAAGCTTCTCCAGGAGAACCAACGGCTCAAACAGCAACTAGTAGGAGAATCCACAATGCCTTAACATCTCAACACAATGCAATAAAGCATTAACGTCCTCCTTCTCCTTCTCCACATATTTATGTTGGCAAATTTCCTCAGGTGGAGCATCTTTGCTCAGTGCCATGCTGATGTAATCCAGCTGGCATTAAGTTGACCACCAGTTCTTAATCCATAATACGTGGGAAGGATACAGTGGAGGAGAACTGTTTATCCCTTGGCACCTTGGAAGCAAAGGGAGAGAAGGGGTTAGAGGTCTTATATGCCCCTCCAAGGGCACACCTCCAGTGATCTCGCTTCCTTCCACTGGCCCTAGCTCTTAAAGGTCCTGCCACCTTCCACTAGTGCCCTGGGCTGTGGACCAAGCCTTTAACACACAGGTCTTTGGGGAACATTTAAGATCCAAACTATCCAACCTGTGTACATACCCATCAGACTTGTGAATATACATGCGTGAAAGGCACGTCCTTGGTGGTTATGCAGCATAATTTATAAAGAACTCAAATAATTCAAATGCCAACAGCAGAATGCATAAAGGATTATGGTACAGTCCTATGATGATACTATGGAGCCATAAAAATGAGCAATGTAAAGCAACGCTATGGGTGAATCTCATAACATCACTTTGAGTGAAAGAAGACAAACACTTAAAGATTGTGTTCCCCAGGGTTCTATTTGCATAAAGGCACAAACAGGTGAGCTCAAGCTCTGTTGATAGAAGTTAGGACAGCTGTTACCCTTGGGAGGGAAAGGAAGAGTTACTGAAAGGGGCAGATGGGTGTGTTTAATTTGTAATAAGCCACACACTTTTTACACATGCGTTTTCATTGAAGAGATTTAACCATTTTGAGGAAAAGGAAAGAATAAGACATATTTAGTCTCCAGCAAAAGCAAAGCTCATTTACCTGGTTTGTGGAGATGCATGATCCCACTCGCTTTTGAATCACCAGTGGCTTCCTCTGTTGAACTGGCTGGTTCCAGCCACAAGAATAAATATTTGTGTAAATAGGACGCATGCCATTTTGGAGTGATTGACAGTTTAATTAAGTACATGTCCTTTCACTGCCATTATAATTAGGTTGGTGGAAAATCCAGAAATTCCAGTTGCTACATTTTCTCTTAATTGCTAGACTTTAAAAAAGTATGCATTATGCTTCTGAATGTGGTCTTGGCATGGGAAGGCCGTACTCTCACTGCAACTAATCTTGCTATGTTAACAAAGAAATTGTAATGTTAAACCAGGAGGTAAAACAGAGAAATTTGCCCCTAAACTCCTTACCTTTTCCACTGAGTGTCAGTTAGTGGAGAAACAGGGCTCCTGCAATGTCCAAACCAGCCTTGAATTTGAAAGCACCAAACAAAAAAAGCAACCAACAGTCCTTGCCAATTTACAAGGCCATCCTTCTCCTGTCCCTCTCTCTGGCCTTTTCCCTTCCTTTTAGTGCAGCCGATTAGAGGTATGCCACCGAAACTCTGTTGCTAGGAGTGAACACAGCCCGAGTCCAGCAGGGCATCTCCAACAGGGTGAGAGGAGATGCAGAAGAAATTCCTGAGGGCTGTCTGGTCACATCCCTGCTCTGAGCAGGGTTGTTTGGGAGTCATCGCTCAAGAAGCCAAATCAGGTCATCCACAAGGGGCCGGCAGGATGAGAACATGGCTTACCTCCTTCCCTTGTTCTTGACCCTTAGAGGTTCAGTCTATCATCTCAATGAGTTAATTTGAGTTTTGAATATTTAGGATTTAGACTATTTTTTTTAAAAGAATTGCTTTTTCTCTTAGTCATTTTTACTTAATTTAAGGGAGGCAATTAGAATCCCATTTTTCTTTCAGAGTAAACAAGAAGGTATTTGGATATAATTTGTATGTGTTTTTGAAATTTCTATGGAGATTTCAACTGAAACCTACGCACTTCATAAATACATGCTTTTAAAGATATTGTGATAATATATTACCTCTAATACAAAAGATAAATATGGTAAGCTTTACATAGTCAATTAGATAACTCTTGAAGACAGCACATGGATAAATCTATCACTAATTCTTAGCAGCTATGCATTGTGTCTGAAACCTAATTTGGATCTTGTCCTGGATTGTCTGAATGGTCTTTTATAAATCACCTCCACCACTGACTTGGAGACTGAGGCGATCAGTCTTACTCAGGAAACATTTACTGAGCATCCTCTGTGAGTAGGCACTGTGCTTGGTACTTGAGACAGGAAATTGACTAAGAAGCTGACTGTATCCTAAAGGGATTCCAATTTAGAAAAAAGGACAAAGATGTAACAGCAGAATGTTAGCAGATACAAATACGTAGAAATTAGAGGTCGAGAGGAAAGAAGAACGGACTTTAGAGGTGGAAGGGTTCTAGAACAGGCTTCCTGAAAAGGGAACATCTGAATTTGGTTCTGAAGTATGAGGAGGAGTTTTTCTAGTGGTTTCTAGATGGAAAGAATGCATTGAACAAAGGCACAGATACTTGAAACAGTTTAATTGACTCTGGGAACTAGCTGTAGGGCATTGATAGGTAGACAGAGGCAAACATATCTTGGCAGAAACCATGGGCCTTGTTGAGTAGGTAGAGATTTTTTTATCATAATGGAATCATTCTAGGGAGAGGACTAGAGATACCATGGTTCAGGATAGGAGAAATAAGAAGCTGTTGGATTCATTAATGATGAGAATTTGGACCAGCAGGTTAGGATATATGGAAATGAGAGGACAATGTAAGTACTACTTAGAAGAAGAACCAACAGCACTTGGTGAAGTGATAGCCTTAGTTTAGTAATCTGTCCTCCAGCTCACTCACAAGCTCCCCAATATACTGTTAGTGCCTCTACACCTGTGATTTCTAATAGTCGAGCAGTCCTATCCCAAGAGTCAAACTTCCAAGCCAATCTATTCAAAGTTAAGGGGTTTCTCAGGTTCTGCTAGAAGGCAACTAGCCTAGCCTGGAATAATTCCCTCCATCTGATTTTTGGGCTGTTAGCTGGCAGCTGCTAACTAGGGGTAGCATCACTGAATACTTTGCTTTATTTAGAACATCTTGAGCTCGTGACCTGCCTTGTTTTATAAAAACCCATGTACACACCTAAACATATTTGAATGTGATGTCTCAAAAACACATTTTCACAAGACAGGAAACAGTAATTCATGAACAGATATGGAAGGGTTTATTTTGTTAATCACAAGCAAAATACTTTTGAAAACACTTTTTAGGTTTGGGAGGTAGGAATCTTTGGGTTGCAAAAGCTAGAAAATAAACTCAAACTGAATCAGACCCCAGAGGGAAATTATTAGGACAAAGATAAAAGCATGGCTTCATCCAGGTGAACATGGTCATCAGACACTGCCTGTCCTTCCTAGGTCACTTCCCCAGGTCATCTTCACATTTATCTGTTGGTCACAAAGATGGTAATCAGCAGCCCTTTCCCGATACTCAAACCTCAGTTTAATTTCCAGGATCAAAAAGAATCCAGATTTAGGTTTCCAGAAAATGTAAGGAGATCCCTAGAAGTACCATAGACTAGACTACTGCTTTTCCAAGCAGGTAAAGTCAAAAATCAACTACTTTATTAACAAATTAAAAAATTCTGGGAGAAGGAGGAGACTATATTTACTGAGTCTAATAGTCCGCTGGTTCCTTTAGAACCTACTGGGAAGCTGGCTCAATGTTGGGAGCAGGATTCTTTCTTACTACATATTTGTTAAGTGAATGAATGACAAACTTGAATGAATGAATAGAGGATTCTCCTCCTGTCAGAATTGATACTTGATGTCCTGAAATCTCATGAGCCTGGCTTGTGCCCACCCCATTCCACAGCAGTCTCTCAGAGCTATAGCTGTGTTTCATAATTATATTAAGGTCAGTGATAGACTACACATACAATCACAGTCCCCTTAGATTACAGCCCCTAGTGATGTCATACAGCTGCCATGGATTTTATAAGTGTACTCTATAATATGTGCACAATAGTGAAATCAGAGAACACATGTCTCACGATGTGTCCCTGTCATGGTTTAAGGTAGGAAAAATAATTAAGAAGTTGTCACATTCATTAATGATGAGAATTTGAACAAGCAGGTTAGGGTATTTGGGAATGAGAGGACACTGTGAGCGATATTTAGAAGAAACAACAGGACTCAGTGATGTGGTAGCCTTAGCTTAATCATCTGCGCTCCAGTCACAAGTGACTGTGTCATAGGGTGCTTCAGTTGTCTATTGCTCATGTGCATCACCTCCTCTGACTAGAAACCCTGTGAGGGCAGGGACACATTTTTCCTTTTTGAAGATTAAGAATCCAGCATGGCTGTGGCACAGAGTATGTCCTTGGTAATTGGTTGTTGCACTAATACATGCATGAATAGGTAATTAATGACCAATTAGAGGTAGTGCTCTGAGGTCTTCAGAAAACTACAGTTTCTGTCTCATCATCTTCACTCAATCACTACAGCATATAACAGTGATGCTGATGTTAAAGTCACTAGACGCTCCTTAAAAAGAAAGGCCAAAGCCCAGAACGTGCCACAGAGCAGTTAAATCATAGCATCTGGGAGACCAGGCATCCACAGTTTATAAGCTCCCCAGGTGAACCCAATGTACAGACAGGTTTGGGAAGCACTGGTCTGTAGCTTTATTCAGAATGTCAGAGAAGTACAGAGAATATCATAATTGCTCTTCTGCTGGGTGTCATGGGTAATGGTAATGTAGTTCTTGCACCCTCTGGGACCAGTCAAGGCAGAGAGCTGAAATAGGCTGTTTACGGTAATAGCCAACAAATTGGAGGCTGTTGCTTGGTTGCATGGGCCTCTCCAAAGCTGCGGTGATAATAAATGCTGAGTCAAGGTTTCATGTCTCGCTAGGGTCAGCCGGCATTGAGGGGAGGGACACCCCACCCACCCAAGGCACAGTTTAGGATTAGAGCCATCACTGACTCTTAAACCACACAGCTTATGTTCATCAGGCCATTAAGTCTTTGCCATTCAAAGTGGATTAGATGGACTAACACTGAGGGCTTCCGTTAGGAGCTTTTCAGAAATTCAGACTTTTAGGCCCTGACCAAGACCTACTGAATGAGAGTTAGCACTAAGGAATGCCTCAGATGTCACAGTGGGCACTTCCAGCTGAGAAGCACTGCTTGGACCACCTTGGTGAGGGAAAAGTATAGTCTGGCATTTTCCCACTTGCTCAGAAAAGGTCTAAACATCTTTTGACTCCTCTGTATCTCTGCTAGAAAATACCCAAAGTGCCTATGTCCTCCTACTGCTTGTAAAAAAACAGACTCACCCTTAGGGCTTTCAAAATAGTGACAATTCTTACGTTAATGTTTTGATGCTGAGAGCTTGCATTTGGCTAGGGAAATTCTGAGATCTTCACTGCTAGCTGCCCTCTCACTTGGAAAGGCAGAGTCCACATGTACCCAGGGATGGAGGGACCATGCCCTCATCATGGTTCTCCTTGTGTTTGTACTGTAACATCCCCGGGCCTAGCTGAGAAAAAAAAAAATCTAAATGAAAATTCAATAAGCAAAAATCTGTTCTTGGATCCATGGACCATGAAACCACCAGAACCAGGATGTAGACATGTAAACAGCTTCATTGGTAGAAAGAAGGAGTTTAAAGTGTCAGACATCAGAGATCGAAATTATTTGTTCATTTACTTTTTACATTTTTTCTCATTTTTGTTTTTATTGGTACATGTTTGCAGTACATGATTGCATTTACTGCGAGGAGTTGGTAATTGTACATAATGTGTGTTAATTCATTTCTGGTCCCGCACTTCTCCCCTCCTCCTTGCTCTTTCCATCTGTCAAAGAGCCCCAGATTGCAAAAGCTCTGTCTCCATTTTTCCAGGTCTTTTTCCATCCCTTTTCTTTCTTTCTTCTATTCTCCCTCCATCGCTTGGTCCTCTTCACATGTGAAAAAGATCATCTCCTGATTTCCTGTTATCTGTCTTTTATTTTGCTCTTAATTTACAATCTAGGTTCTCATATGAATGAAACCATGCGATATTTAAGATTGTGTACCTGATTTAATCCACTTAACGTTATGATTTCACAGTACACCCTTATTTCTTACAAATGACTCAGGTTCACCCTTATTTATGGCAGAGGAGTACTCCATTGTATATAAATACTACATTATCTTTATTCCATTCATCTGTTGGGCATATAGACTGTTTCCAAGATGTAGCTATGGTGACTCATACTGCTATAAACATGGGTATGCATGTATTACGGTGCTGTGATGTCCTTAATTCTTTTGAGAAGATATCAAAAGGGTGAAGTGGAATTTCTAGTTTTAGTGTTTTTGAAGAGTCTCCCTAGTGATTTCAATGGTACTAGCTCACATTCTCGCCAACAATGTGGAAGAGTTCCTTTTCCCCCCATAGTCTTCCTGGCATCTGTTATTATTTTATTTCTTGACAGCCATTCTTTCTGGAATCTCAGTTTAATTGGCATTTTTCTCATGGCTAGAAAGGTCAAACATTTTTTCATGTATTTTTTGGCCCTTTGCACGTTTTCTTTTGAGAGAACTTGTATTCATTTTTTTTTTTTTTTTTTTGTGAGAAGTCTGTTTTTGGGTTCTTTACATGTTCTACATGGAATAGCTGGAAATTTTTCCCCCATTCTATGGGTTATATCTTC